AAAAAAAAAAAAAAGAGAGAGAGAGAGAGAGAGAAGGCTGGGTTGGAGACAAAGACCAGGCTGTGAACAGCCCACGGAAAGAAACTGAAACCAGGGACATGAAATGGTCCAGGGAGGGGGTGCAGAGGAGGTGGCCTAGGACAGAACTCCAGCTTCTCAGAAATGGACAAAGGGAGACTCTAACCGGAGAGTCAAGACAGCATCTGCAGGAGGGCGTGGTCCACCGGACTGGATGTCAGAGAGAAGCCAAGTAGCATAAGCCCCAGCGAGTGAGAATTAACTTAGCAACACGGATGTCGTAGGTGACCCTGGGCAAGACCAGTTTGGTGGAGACGGACATGCTAAAATGTCAGTGGGAAGAGAGCCTGCGAGAAGGGACGGGTTGAGGATGCAGAGGAGAAAGATGGGGAGGAGGTGTTCCTGCAGCCAGGGAGGGGGATCCAGAGCACAGTGGGTCACACAGGAGAGCAGCTTCATTCGGGAGAAGGGGCCTCATCCATTCACCAAAAGGACAGAGAAGGCTGGTGCTGCGTGGGGACATCGGGGACGTGTGATGGCAGGGAGCTGAGGGTGTTCTCGTGTCCGAGCTTCCGTCTGCTCTGAAGGGGGTGGGGGAGGGCCTTGGAGGGCAAGAGGTGGTAGTAGGGAGTGGGATGTCCTAACGTAGCTCCAGGTAATGAGGCACACAGAGCGAGGCATCCACCGGAACGGTGACAAGTGGAAAGGGGGTGAAAGTCCTTGGAGACAGAGAATGGTGCATCAGATGTGTATCTGGCAGGACACAGAAGGCACCCTAGGGTAAAGAACTCTTACCAAAGTCCTGAATGAATGAGGGGGTGGGGATGATGTAACTCGGTGTCGAGAACGAAGAACTAATCTAAGGAGGCGGGATTTTACATGACGGAAGCACAGACAGAGTGAGGAGTAAAGATATGGGAAGACGACACACATCTTCACGTCCACTCTGAATTAAGGACCTCCTGGGTCAACAGTGGGCTGCCCCACTGGACAGCTCTTCTGCTGGAAAGACCCTCTTGGTGCCGAGCTAAAGTTCACCAACTGGTAACTTTCACTAACAGGTGAGAGTCTAGATTTCTGAAGCCACACAAATCAAACCTGCACCTTTTCACATGTAGAAAACACCTGAAATCTGACAGAGGCCCTGTGCTCAACCCATCTGGCCATGGGACTTTGGACAATCGCCTGCCGTTGTCCTCCGCATCCGCTCTGTGAAATGAGGAGCCTGGAGGAGATGGTCCCAGCCAGCTGAAGAGTCATGAGTACACTGAGTGTGTAGAGGCCAAAAGAACACCAACAGGAAAAGCTTTCTAAACTTGAAAAAGAATCCAACAACCCAACATTTGGGCAGGTACTCAAAAGAACCGAAAGCAGGGACTCGAACAGATATCTATACACCCATGTTCACAGCAGCATTATTCACAAAAGCCAGGAGGTGGAAGCGACTCAAGTATCCACTGACGGATGAATGGATAAACAAAATGTAGCGTATACATACAATGGAATATTATTCAGCCTTTAAGAGGAAGGGGATTCCGATGCATTTTACAACATGGGTGAAACTTGAAAACATTAGGCTAAGTGAAATAAGCCAGACACAAAAGAACAAATATTATTTGATTCCACTGATATGAGGTACCCAGAGCAGACAGACTCAAAGAGACAGACAGCAGAGTGGTGGTTGCCAGGGTTGGGGAAGGGGAGACAGGGAGTTAGTGTTTAATGAGTACAGAGTGTCAGTTTGGGAAGACGAAAAAGTTCAGATGGATGGTGATGATGGCTGCACAACAATGTGAATGTACTTAATGCCACTACTGCACACCTAAAAACGGCTAAAACGGTGAATCTTACGATGTGTATACTTTCTCACATACGCACACCACTTGAAAAGGCATGCATCAATGTGAAAATAAGGCAGCTGTGATTACAGAATCTGGCCTGGCTAAGAAAGTCACACTTATCCAGGTAAGATCCTCCTACTCTATCTGGATCTCCTGTGGGTCTGTTTCTAGTTCAGGGTTTTCTCTCGTACTCTGGTTATTTTTGATTGAGTGCTGAACATCACAGGTGAAAAACCGGAGCGAGAATCTGAGGCTCTGGATGAAGTTACTTCCTCCAGCGAGGACTGGCTTGTTTTTGCCTCTGGCTGGCAGGTGGACTAGAGACACTGACAATCCCAAATGTTCTTCATTCAGTCGATACTGAAATGCTCTGAACCAAGACTCTAGACCCTATGAGGGCTGGCTGAACTCTGGATCACCCCCCACTCCTCAGCGATGGCCTTTCAAGCCTACGGTGTTGACCAGGGTCCTTCCAACTTGGGCTATTCAATTTTTGTCTCCAGCTCTGTGACTCTGGCAAGAACTCTGCTCAGATCCTCAGCCAAACTTCCACCAAAACAAGCTAGACTATCATCACCAGAAAGAGAGCTCCTTCATCTTTCACTAACATCGAAAACTTAAGCTTGACTACCCACGCTGCTCTATAAGACTTCCCCTCCTATCCTGCAGAGATAGTGGGAGCCCAGAGACATGCTTCTCATCTTATAGCCAGCAACAAGTCCTGTGACTCCTGGGCGTGACCTCTCAAGGTGTCCTTATCCTCGCGTGTAAAATGCATTTGGATCACAATCTTTGAATTTCTTCCTGTTCTAAAGGTTTTGCAGTCTCTAACGTCCCTGCCAACTCTTACATTGGACAATCCCAGAATATACATTCTTCTTCTGTGGATCCATCAGGCTCCAGCCCAGCCACTGATTACAACTTTCCATTCTCAGAAGACCATTAAAACAAACAGATTTAAACTACAACAGCGTGCATTTAGATTTGCAAACAAAGATGTTCAGTTTCTAGAACTGTGCCCATTCATATGGAAGATCCTTATTACTTGCTGCCTGGGCTACTACGTCAGGCAAAGTTGATGAGGACCCAACTGACGCTAAGGCCGAAAGTCAAAGAGAAAAGCCCAACCCCAAAGAAGAAAGGAGTCAGTGGAGGGCATCATTGTGCCAAATGGCACGCAATACATAAACATGAGGGAAACAAGCCTGAGTCACAGCAAAGGACTTAAACTGTTCTTTATAAAAACGTATGCTGACTGTGTGTTCAGCAACAGGTCGAGGCAGGAGAGCGTCAAACAAACATCAGTCTGGCTTTTTAGAAGCTAACATACCGGGACTTCCTGGGTGGCGCAGTGGTTAAGAATCCACCTGCCCATGCAAGGGATGCGGGTTTGAGCCCTGGTCTGGGGAGATCCCACATGCTGCGGAGCAACTAAGCCCACGCACCACAACTACTGAGCCCATGTGCCACATCTACTGAAGCCCGCATGCCTAGGGCCCATGCTCTGCAACAAGAGAAGCCACTGCAATGAGAAGCCCGCGCGCCGCAACAAAGAATAGCCCCCGCTCGCCACAGCTAGAGAAAGCCTGCATGCAGCGACGAAGACCCAACGGAGCCAAAAATAAACAAACAAATAAATAAATAAACAAACAAACAAATAAATAAATAAAAAAGCTAACATACCATGCTTTCCTTGTTGGATGCTGAAGATGCACAAACATTCTATTCATTTTCATGATGAACAAAAGAACCAGTGGCTGAAAGTAATGACGGGCTGAAACAAAGTCCTACTTTCACAAGTATGGAGGAGACCCAGCGGAGCTGCTTCACTACCCAGAGAACGTCCTCCTGCACAAAACTGCCGACTCTGGCCCAAGTTCCACACCGCCCAGCCTTTGTGAGCCCTGCCTCCACACTCCCCCGACCACGGAGCTGCTGACCTGCTCCTCTTCTCTGCAGGACATTGGTGTCTCCCAGGTAGCATCTCCCCTTCCTCGCAGCATGTGGACCCATCAGAAAGCAAAGGCATGTATTCCAAAAGCCGTGCTGCCATCAATACCCCCAGATGGAATCATCCCTGGGCTTCTCGATGCTGCAGTAACACATGTGCTGGAAGCTACTGACCTCTACGTTGGTCCTTACTTTTTCCAAGAGACCTTGTGTGTGGTGGAATAGGAACTGGCCGAAGCTCTGAGTCCCAACTCTGCTGTTCTCTAACAAAGCTCACTGAGGCATAAAAAATGTACTGAGAGCCTCGTATGGTTCAGACACCGCTGGGCATCAAGGGTAGAAAGGCCACCGAGACACATGAGGTGCCGGCCACTATGGAGCTAAAATCAAGGAGCGCCTCAGTTTCCCATCTGCTCAAGGAAGCTGCTGGACCAAGTAATCTCTAAGGTTCCTTCTGATTTTAATGTGCTACAGTTTTACGATCTGAGTTACAGCCCTGGTTGGCCACATGCATCCATGTGGCTTTGGACTGGTGCAGCCTCTCTGGGCCTCAGTTCCCACGTCTATAAAGCAAACAGGTGAGATTTGCAATGTCCCCAGTTACCTTATGCAGACACAATGGAAGGTTTCCAGAGTCACCCTGCAAGGAGTCCTTCTGCTGGACGGCTGCCCAACAATAAGAGTCCACGAAGGAGGCCTGACGCCACGAGAAAGAACTGGGAGAGAAGCAGCTTATTTGGGTACCTAAGAAGCAAGAACAGATTGTTCCAAGTAAATGAAAGCGCAGGTGTCTGGACCCCTCCTGCCCCACCCATAATCCCTCCCTCCCTGCCTCAGACTTTCAGGTGTTTGCTAAGTCACCAAACACCACTACAGGAGCGAGGCCAGCACCAAAACCAAACCCCCAAGTCTGCAGTAAAGCTGAATATTTGCGAGCTTTCTGGCCAACACTGGTCATGACAGCAGCTTGGGCTCAGGTGGGGAAAAACCTTTGAAAGAAGTGAAACCATCATAAAGGAAAAGTGAGCAGGAAAGGAACCAGAGCCAAACATGTGCAAAGGAAACACGCTGAGTTGGTTTAATTTGGGGTGAGGACTGAGAGAAAGGAAAGCGTTACAGGGCGGGGAGTAGGAAGCGAAGAGAAGAGTCAATGCAGAAAATTGAGCCAGAAAAGGAGTCCTTTTTAGAGCAAAGAAACAAAGGACATTCAGCCTGAGGACGAGAAGGCTGATGGAACATTTGGTAATACACCACTGGACGGCAAATCGACCGTTTTCCAACTCCTCTAAGAAAAAAGAAGGCACAGGCCCAAACTGCAGCCCAAGTGGTTTCCATTCAGCAGGCAGATGCTCCAAACTGCAAACCTGCAGGCAGGGAGATGGGCGCGGGATGGGAAACCAGGAGAGCTGGGTCCCACTGGAGGCTCTGCCGTTAACTTGCTCTTCTGGGAAGGAGCTCTGGACCTCGGTTTTCTCCTCTGCAAACTGAGAACTACATTGCTCCGCAAAGGCTACCGTTACTACCTGGAAGATTCTTCATGCCCCTGAGTGCCTCCCGACTCACATGGGCCACCGTGGGAAACAGGCCAGTAGGACTTTCAGGGTGCAGGGCTGAAGGTGTGTCTCCCCTCCTTGCCAGCAGGCAGAGGGCCTGGTGCTGAGCCTGTCCTGGCAGCCCTGAGCCCAGCCCCACTCCCCTGCCCCATCAAGCAGGTACAGGAACATGTGTCCCTTCCAGGCACAGGGACCAGCTGCTGGGGGACAGCTGACACACTCTCTTCCACAGCCTGCACAGCGGGAGACTGCCAAGTGCCTGGGCTCTGATGTTAGCTGCATCTAAACCTAACTCTGACCCTCACAGCTGGGTGACCTCAGGTCACTTACTTACAAAGCCAGGGATCTCCAAATGGGGATGGCGTTAATGTCTAGATTCCGAGTAGTGTACCTGGTTCCCGGCAGGTGCACACGGCACATCCTTCTGTACCAAGTGGCTAGCAGATTCTGTTACAGCTTTAAAGATGGGGGAGGGGGGTGCCCACCATTCTCCCTCCCACCCTGCAGAGAGGACAGGACAGTAGGAAGACACCGAGCTGGACTTCCCTGGTCCCTTTATGAGGGACATAAAAAGCTTCAAAGGGTTGCCCTCCTTTGGTGAGGGGTCGGCCTTTATACTTGTGACCGAAGAGGGTAGTGATGGGTATGTTGTCTGGAGAGTAGATTCTTGTGGTGAAGGGGGTGCAACAGGCCAGGCTGTGAGCACCCCCGCTTCTGCATCAGGTGCCTTTATGCCCACAGACGTCAAGAAGGGACTTCTCAGATAGAGCCCTTGGAGATGACTGTGAAAAGTCACACACTTTCTGAAAGCATCCTCTAATAGGGTAACTTCTTGCCAACCAGAAATGGTTTAAATATGAGCTGGGGGTGGGAAAGACATTGAAGGTCCCTTCCAACTCTTATCCCATTAAACTTGAGTTCTTACGTTTTATAAAAAATAGAGCAATCAGGATAGCACAGGACCCCGGGGCTAGCCTTACTCTGCTCTTGCATCAGTATTCCTCTGTCAAATGCTTCTAATGAGGCCCAGACACCAAGGCTTACTGGGCATAAAACAGCAGGTACTGTAAGAAGGACACACAGGCCCCAGGTTATAGATGGATGGTTTCTGGCAAGATGCTTGCTTAGCAGCATCTGTCCAAACACATTCTCTGAAAGGGGGCAATGCTGTTAGGATTTCATGGAAACCCGTCTGGCCTGTAGTCCTCGTGCATATAGCCAGCATCTAGTAACCTTCTTTCCATAGGAAAAGTGCTTCAAGTTGTCCTGGGACGTCAGGGGCCTCCCCCAGGGCAGTGATGGAAACTGCTGGAGCATAAATAACTCAACTTTTTCACACCAAAGCTTTTGCAAACGAAGAAGAAAGGAAATTTAACAGAGTCTACAGACGGAGGTTGAGCACACGTTGCGCTCCTAAGTAAATATTCTTCATCTGGAATGGAAGATGAGAAGAAAAGACAACCAATATTCACAGGACACCACGCCACCTTTAAATCATTACATTACCTCATTTAAACCTCACAACCAAATCGAGGGAGGGGAATAGACAGATAGATAGGTCTTATCTTCATTTTACCCTGGAGGAAACCGAAGCTCACAGTAATTCAGCAATCCCTCACCCAAGGAAGTCAGTGGTAGCATCAGAATTTGAATGTGTATCTAACTCTCAGTCTCTTAAAATGCTCCTCTCTGGACCAGTCACTCCAACAAGGCCGAGCTGTTGGAGGTCCCAGGAGCCTGGTGGGGCAGGGTGGTTTGAACACTTGGTTACTCCAACTAACCAGCATGGGCAGAGCTTCCTAGCAAGGGTCAAGGTCAAATCTGAGAAAAGGAGCAGATCAAGCCCCGGGTATTGGATATTCCCAGGCCAGAAACGGAAAACAAAGGAAGTCAAGAGCCAGGCAGGGGCAGGAGTAAAGGGAGGGACCTGCAGGAGGTCCAAGCGGGAGGGTGCAGGGACCTGCCCGAGCTGGGCTGTGCAGCCCCACACCTTCCCCCAGGGCCTGACAGCCTAACCTGGCCTAAAAGCACCCATGTCAGGAGGCTCAGCTGCAGCATGCAACTAGGATGTTCGGGACCTGGACCATCGTGATTCACCTCCAATTGTTAACTCCACATCCTTTATCTCATTTACTCTTCTAAATGATATTGGGGGGGTGATGATTTTGTAACGGATAAAAATGTCGAAATCACTCTGTTGTGCACCAGGAACTAGCGCAGGGCTGTAGGTCAATTGTACTCACAAACAAACAAACTCATAGAAAAAGAGATCAGATTTGTGGTTACCAGAGGCGTAAGATGTGGGACGGGGGAACTGGATGAAGGCTGTCAAATGTACAAACTTCCGGTTATAAGGTAAATAAGTGTGAGGGACGTAACGTGCGACATGACACATATAATGAACACTGCTGTACGTTCTATATGAAAGTGGTTAAGAGAGCAAATCCTAAGAGTTCTCATCACAAAGAAAAATTGTTTTTCCTTTTATTTTGTATCTGTATGAGACAATGGGTGTTCACTAAACTTACTGTGGTGATCATTTCAGGATGCATGTAAGTCAAATCATTACCCTGTACACCTTAAACTTATACAGTGCTGTCTGTTAGTGATACCTCAGTAAAACTGGAAGAAAAAACCAATAATTTTGGGAGGCAAACAGGTGTTTTATGTACTTTCCTAGCAGTCTTCCAGTAAGGACAGCTTCCGGTCTCCTTCCTCCACCTTTTTAAACTGCTGCCAGATCATTCACCCTCAAGCTCAGTTCTGATGTTGACACTCCCTTGGCTCAACATTTATTCATTGGTTCCCCGCCACCCAGAAGCCAAATCCAAACCGATGCTCCAATCCAACCTAATTATTGCTGTGGCTTGCACAGGCCCCATCTGCTCCTAAATCTGTGCCTTTCCTCACATCAATCCCTCCGCCATGGGGGCCCTCTCTCCAATACTTGTTAAAGTCAATGCCCCTCCACGTCCACCTCCATGGCCCATCCTTCAAAGCCCAGCTCAGATATCACCCTCTGCATGAAACTGTCCCCACTCAACTCCCAGAGCCCTTTAAAGCCATCAGAGACAGATAATCACCTTCAACCATGTTGTACAGACATGCACGTCTTATCTCCTCTAGTAATATCTCAACTCTTGACTAGCAGAGTGAACATACAGACACACATACACACACACACACACACACTCTCTCTCTCTCTCTCTCTCTCTCTCTCTCTCTCTCTCTCTCTCTC